TCCGGTGAATAGCATAATCCATCTTTTGAACAACATGAGCTGTTGTGCAGTACATGAGTTACAATGATGGTAGGCAAGTTGGCGTGTACATGTTGACAAATAGGAATTAATACGAAGTACTAATTGTCTCCTCTGAATGAATTGTTTTTTTACTAAAAGAATGCATTAGCTGTATTTAATTTCTCTTTTAAAAAAAACATACTGAACCAAGGTCAACTGACCTCCTACAGGTTGCCCTTTCCAAAAGACTATCACCTCCAGGCCCCAGCCCCCTGACCCACCACCAACCAAGAGAAAGAAATGTTTGATTATCCAAACTTATGGCATTAGACATAACATGAAATAACTTTTCAATAGTAGCAACTTACAAGATAAACCTTCCCTTCAACAGTCGGTGAATCAGTTCGACCTGGAGGAATTAAGGGGGGCAAGCGAGTCAGTTGGAAAGAGATCAGTGTGTCGTCGCATTTTGCAAACTCTATATGTTTTTTATCGAAATGATCTGGCTCCCATTGAATGCACCTGAATAATAACAAAGCTGGTTTTTTTTTAAATGTTAGCTCACTAGCGGAGGCCTTTAATCAAAGCCGGAAGTGCGTTGAGTCGATCGTCATAAACATTAACATTTACACTGATTCATCTGATGTCGGTTACTGCTGGTTAATGTTATATATACAGTTACTATAAACAACAGTTCACAAACATTTTAGGTGAAAATAATTTTCCTTGGACTTCTTAAAAAGTTAACGCAGCATCAAACCTGTAAGCTAGCTATTTGTGAAAACAGAAGGCCAAGGACCTGTGATCTAATTTATACAGATCAACAAATTTTCCTGCAGATTTATTAGTTAGAGGATACCTGACCGACAGATTTTTTTTAAATACGAGGTATATTTTTAATACCAAAAACTTGTCTCAACTGATATCAGGCTATTATCGTCAGGCTATAGCCCGGTAGGCGAGACTAGCCATAAAGGAAGATTTTTTTTTCAACTCTTGTAGAAATTTTAGGATACAATGAGGATCCCGAGACACCCCAGGATGCAACGGAACTTGAATAGGGTTACATTCACTTTCCAAGAAAAGAAAGACGAGAATTTGGCAAGTGTGACGAGTATTGCAAGAGTTTGGTTTTTAGATTCGGATGAAGCTTGATATACTCATTGTTGAAAACATTAGCACAACTGCAAACTTCTTGAATTGTAGAACAATTTTATTTTTTCCTATGCGTTTTGTGTGACTATTAAACGCACGCGCACCGCATCCCAGTACGTTTTACAGCACACAACTCAGTATGCCTGTTTATGGTTGAATCAGCAAGCGGGGAAGACGAATCTTAAGAAAATAAATATTGGTGATATCAAACACAAATGGGAATATTTTCAATCGCCGGAGCCTTTTTAGACCAGGAGCCCTGAAGACGGATTTATTGAACTTTAGGTGAATTTTTCAGGCAGAATTTGTAGGGCTGGGTGTGTTAAAAACGCATCTGCTCCCTAGGACATCTGTCGGGGCATTTCATTTGGCATACATAGAGAAGATTCCTGACGCTAGATGATGGCGGTTTCGATCTGATTCGAGCGGTGTTGATTGTATGAGTCACATTGAAGGAGATATTACTGGAAGAACATCGAAAGGAAGATACGAACAGCTAATCTTGGAGCTGTAGCAGGGTAAGAATCGCCTTTTTGTTCCTCATACAATCAACACCGCTCAAATCATGCTTAACCTCTCTAACAGACCTTTTTAGCTTGTATGTTTTGTTTCCCCAATACAGGTCATGAGATAATACTCTAGAGAACTGTTTCTTTCAAATTTCGTCTTGTTCTCGTGCATATGTACACACAAAATAAAAGTGTCAAGTTCCCCTGGGACCTCTATTGGGAAAACAAAACATACAAGCTAAAGAGGTCTATACCTCGCAATCCAGTGCAGCACGGAAACCCGGGGGGTACTCAACAAATGTTCATTCGAGGAGGCTCCTCACCGAGATCCAACCCCTTACCCTTTATATACTATTTTTCACGAAAAAGTTACCCCTTCCTTTTAAACGCTGTAAATGCACAGTCTTTTAAATAAGAATTAATCACAAAATAGAACGTTCCTCGACGTTTTCAAGCCATAAAATTCATCTGTTAGCCCTTTTGGGCCCTTTTACAGACCCAAATGACAGATTTCCTTACCCTTTTATATACTTCAGCCAGTGAAATCCTTACCCTTTCATATACCTGAAGCCTGAAAAAGGTGCCCCTTTCGGGGGAAGCCTCCCCATCGGGTATAGGCCATCATAGGGAATACCCCCCCTCCCCGGTACAAAAAGTCGCATAAATATAGAACAACAACTCATCTTTTTAAAATCATTATTCCTAGTCCCTATGGAGTAAATGACCGCTTTTCGTTCAGCTAAATATACGTTTTTCACGATGACCCGTCAGCGCTGCGGACGAGATTGTTGGTTTCTCTGGGGGGCAGACAAGTGAAAAACATTGGCAATGGAAGA